TCCAAGATCAAAATAACCTGGGACCTTGATGAAAATCTAAGGATTCGGGATCCCTGGGTGGTGCAGCGGTTTGGCGCCTGCCTTTGGCCCAGGGCGCGATCCTGGAGACCCGGGATCGAATCCCACATCGGGCTCCCGGTGCATGGAGCCTGCTTCTCCCTCTGCCTGTGTCTCTGCCTCTCTCTCTCTCTCTGTGACTATCATAAATAAAAAAAAAAAAAAAAAAAGAAAAAAGAAAATCTAAGGATTCCAATAAGGACCAGGAGTTTGAGTAACATTATTGGTCCTGTCAACAATTTACTGGGTAGTTTAGGCTCTCCCCTCAAGCGTTCTTTAACTTCCAGGTGACTTCTAAATAGAAGATGAAAATATTATTATAAGGTCCATTTAAATAAACCTCCTATATGAAAAAATCATCTCTTCCTAGTTTGTTGAAATGAGAGTCATAATATTTATTTCATTGAGGGGGTGTGAAGCTTAGTTGGGACTAATTTACTTCAGTACTCCTTCCAGGACTCTGAAAAATTTATATAATCCCATATGTGGTTTGTAGGAATGGACTTCATGACAATTTGATGAGAAATAGTATGAATATTTTATCAAGGTTTTTTTTTTTTTAAATCATTCTTTTGAGTATAACCACCCTTATTCCAGCTTTTCCAGCCCCTCATGACAGGCACCTGGTCACTGCCAGCACCTCCTGAAGGAGGGCCTCAGCCAATCTGTTGTGTGTGTTACTGCCTCACCAAACACCCCACAACCTTCCTTTGTGGTGGGGCCCACTCTGTCCTCCATGCTCACTAGACTCATCATGTACATACAGTATGTGCCATTCACATGTTGACCTCTTTCCCTGAGTAAATTGTGAACAGCTTCAGGGCATCAACTTGCTCATATTTTGAACCTCTGGCATCTTACATGGTGACTAGCAGAGAAGAAGTGATCAAATAAAGCCTTGTCAAATGACTGAGGGCACAAACCCTCTGCTCTTGACAAGGCCAAAACCAACCCATGTCTTCTGAACATGGGACTTGCCCTCCGGTTTGTCTTCTTTTGCTGTTCCTCCTCACCCTAAATTTTCCCTTTTCTTTCTCAGTAATATACATTTATCTATTTAAGGCAGCAGTTTTCAGCCTTGGCTACACAGTAGAATCACTTGGGGGAGATTTACAAATAAAATAAACACCCGTGCCGACACAGATTTTGATTTAATTGGTTGGGGTGGGGCTCTGGTGTTGGTATTTTGTGAATGCTCCTTTGATGAGTCTAAGTGCAGCCAGGCTTGAGAAAACACTGATTTTAAAGTGATACTGGAGTCCCATCTTCTAAAAAGACTAATGTGCCTCTGATGAGTTTACCTTGCTCTGGATTCAAAGCAGGTGCTCTCTTAACCACTTATTAGGTAACAAATCAAACACTGTCTTGTGACAGTACTTCAGTATTATTTTGTTCTTTAACTCCTATACTTCATCTTGATTACTTATGAGTGTATACACATATGTACCATCTCTCATAGAAGACCAGAAGAAACTTGAAGACAAGAACTGTGTCTTCTACTTCTTTGCCTCCCCAAGCCATGCACATGGTGGACCAAAAACATATTTTTGATTCTTAAAAAAGAAGAAAAGAAAATCCAAAATATTAGAAGAGGAGAAAAAAAACCTTAGTAGAGGCCATTTTAATTCCACTTTAAGGACATGTCTTTGGTAAGAATAAAAATGTTGCAAAAAGGGTGGGGCAGGATTGAAGCAGACTAGAAAAAGAGTAAATAAAAGTCAAATGGAAAAAAAAAAACTAAATTAGTCCAAAAGAAAATGTTTCCTAGCTTCTTAAGAGGGTTTTTGCAAACACTGAAGCAGTATAAACAAGAGAATTAACTTGGCTTGTGCCCTGATAAGGAGATTTCTTTCTTGGTTATATAATTTTTACAAAGTTTCCAGGGTGTAAAGAAAATAATCAGCCAGGGAGGACTCCTTCCCTTGGACTATACAATTCAGCTCTTGGTTTAATCGGGTCGCAGAGCTGCTCAGCTTGACCTGACCTCCTTCCAGCCATGTGATCTCAGACTAAGCCGCACATTCGAGAGCCCTGGTGTAGAGCTCAATGTCATAGAAATGAGATAAAGCATAATCCTCATTCTATGTCCTTAATCCCTTGGTGTAGTGGCCTCTGTTCATTGGTGGGGGTGGGGGGAACTATACCTGGTATCCTCTTCCTGGTGGTTGGTGTTCCATAGATCTGCTGATGCTAGAATGATCTAGGCATGTTCTACTAAGTAGTGTTATAAGGAGGTATTGCTTGGAACAATGACCTTAAAGACTAGCTTAAAGTACTGTTTTGTGCACATAACCCAGAAAAGGTTTATCTTCATATGGCTTCTCTACTTTGTCATGAAGCAAGACCACAGGAAAGGCTCAGTGAATCGTGATGCACACCCTCTGCTAAAGTGAGATAAGTTCATCAGATAGAGACATGTTTTCTATATCAAATTTGGTCTTAGTTATTAGGTGACAAATCGAAGGACTGGTTCCAAAAGGTGTGCACATTTCTATAGATTAATTAAGTCTAAGTTCTTTTGCCTGTGCTGGCCATTTTAACACTGGTTATATTCTATTTTGCTATAGCATTTTATTATACTTTACTATTTTATTTACATATTTTACTAATTAGTGTTTGAAAACACAATTCAAAAGCATTTAACTCTGCTCTTGATTGATTAGCAATGACAGTAACATGTTGTCCTTTGTAGATTAAGATAACACCACTGACTCATTTGATAGGATATGAGTTGATAAACTGTCACTAATCTATCCATTCTGTGCTCCTCGTTCTTCTTGTGACTAGTGGCCTGTATTTGACCTTATGAGCCAAGAACCAAGAGCCACCAAACTCCTGCAGTTACCAAATAGACATAAAATAATAGCATTTGTTCCTACCAGCTACTTCCTGTTGCTACAGAAAAAAATGCAAATGACTGGCTAATTTATTAAAATAAAAGGAAAGAAAAATGTGGCTCTAATGTCTTTATATGCTAATAAATGCTAGCTAGAATTGATAAAACAAGGATCTGGGGGCCTGGAATCCATAATACCATCTACATCACAAAATCAGGGTGTACCATCTAAAACCTAAAACAGAGATAAACTACACATTTTCAAGGAATGAGGTTAAAGATCTATGAAAATGAATGGATTAACACTGATTCACAAGGAATTTTGCTTCCTCAAATTAGAGTTTAGGGAGTAGTGCCTGACAACCCATAATGATATCACTAATAGCTGCAAACTGGGTTTATTTAACATAATTTATAACCGAGGGTACAAACCAAAGGTTATTAGGTTCTACACATCTCTGGATATGTTCCATTGAAAAGAGAAGTAATGGATTCAGAACACAGGATAATTGAATCAATGGGGAAAGGTATCACTTAGGTAATGAGCACGCCAGGACCTGAAAACTTAAGAATGTTCCCCTAAATGAAAACAAGCAGCTCCATCTTCTCAGAACATGGCTGACTCAATCATCAAGCTGGAATGTTATTTACATAGTCCCAAGCAAACCAAGAAGAATCCTCTGGTCTGTAACCAAGGGCACTCGGAAAGTTATGTCTGGAACAGACAAAGCCTCATGTCCTCATGTCTGTTTCTGATGATTCCTGACTCCTTGAAAGAGAGCCAATTTACCTAATGCAGGTAAAGGGCAACAACTCCCTGCCACCTCCCCCAGAAAGGACCACCAGCATAATATTTCATGCCTCTTTAGTTAATAACTTGGATAGTAACATATTTAGCAAGATGGGCAAATCTGGATTCTGAATCTGCTCCATCCAACAAATCAGAACAATCACCCTATCTTCTTCCTCCTCCTGCTTGTGGGAGAGGTCATGATGGAACCTGATCCACATAACAGAATAAAGTTAAGGTCAGGCATAGGGAAAAATAAATTCCCTAATTCTGAAACATTTTACAAAAGGGATCAGACTGTGGGGTCCCTTTCTTTAGAGTGGAAGAGAAGATTGAGAAAGGGGTAGAAAGCTAAACTTTCTGGATGAAAAGGGGGTTAATTCTCATTTGAGGCCAGGATAGAAACCATCAATAGGAAGCTCGGAGAGACTCACTCATTTGGGGAATATGAATAATAGTGAAGGGGAATATAAGGGAAGGGAAAAGAAATGTGTGGGAGATATCAGAAAGGGACACAGAACATAAAGACTTCTAACTCTGGGAAATGAACTAGGGGTGGTGGAAGGGGAGGAGGGCGGGGGGTGGGGGTGAATGGGTGACGGGCACGGAGGGGGACACTTGACGGGATGAGCACTGGGTGTTATTCTGTATGTTGGTAAATTGAACACCAATAAAAATTAATTTATTAAAAAAAAAAAAAAAAAGGAAGCTCAGAGAGAGCTAACATCCTTTTAGGGGTCTCCACAGCATCTTTTGGTACTTGAACCTACTGGCTTAGGAGTTAATGCACAAGTACCCAGGGTCTGGGGAATAGTTAAATTACATGGTAGGATCTGTCTGGCCTATGGTTTTTAAAGCATACTAACCTCAAGAAAAAGCACATCACTATATAACTTGTACACAAATTACCTACTCCTCAACAAATACCAGCTAAGTGAAATGATCATTCACCCTTTAGAGATGGAGAGTTTGAGATTCCCTAGAGGTCCACACCTTGTCACTTACAAGCCATTGGCAAATATCAGGAGGCATGCTGACTCTACGGGCTCTATTCTTACATATTTTTTCCTGTGAGTGACTGATTTCCCACTTCATTATAACTGCTATTGGGGTGGGTAGGGATGCTGGATTATTTACCTACCCACTCATAGTGTTGGCTGCTATTGGGGTGGGCAGGGATGCTGGATTCTTTACCTACCTGCTCATAGTGTCAGGACCGACAATACAGCCAATGCTTTCAGAAGATGAACACTAAGATTGCTAAGTACATCTTGTTCTCTAACCTTGACAGTCAGGAAACATTACCAAAGCACTCACCTGTCTTCTCTCTGAACCAAGGTACTGGAGAATCAGTCGGGTGTTTACACTGTGACTCCAGGTGTTTCCTAGGGCAGCCATCACACAGCTGGAAGCAGAAGTGCCTGAAGTGAAACAAGGTAAAACCATGATTATGAAGGTCCATTTCTTGTAATGGTGTTTCACATAAACAAAAGTCCAGTCATTGCTCAAGGTATAGAGACTCCTGGGGGGGCTCGGTTCATTACCACAAAAGTTCATGAATTAGAGAAGGAAAGGGGATAAGGAACATGAGACTAAAAATAAAAACCAGCAAGAGTTTCCTTCAGCCTCAGTGAAAGTGACCACCCCTGGGCTAAAAGATAACAGAATTATATATCAATAAGAGGTTGCATGCAAGGCAGCTTGGAGCCATGGCTAATAATAAATCAAGCCACTCAAAATCTATGGCAGAAAGGCATAATGCTACTTCATAGAATAAGAGCCAGTTATGAAATAGTCTTAGTTTAAGAGAGTTATAAGACTTTTTTTAGCTTGATAAGAGTCTTACCTCAATTTTCCTAATCAATATAGAAAAATCGTGGCATATGCACATAAAATTCCTTTGCCCTTCCAACCCCTGCACACACACACCCAGAAGAGGAATCTGGAAACTCTAACCATTTTCATATCTAATCTGTATTAGACATCCTTATCCTCAGAGAAACATTCTTTCACCTTCTAAGACCGTCCTGTAAAGGGGAGGATCTGAAATAATCATCTGAGTTTCTAGTCTGCTCCAAGTTATGCCTTAGCTACTACCTTACATCTCCAGAGCTTTGCTGATCCCTCTTGAGAGCACCAGGAGGAAACTATTCCTGCTCTCCTCCTCTTCTTCCTCCTTAAAGCCAGGCTCCCAAGCCCCACCACTTAGAAGTCAGCATCCCCCCCTCCCATCATATCTGGCACATCCTGAGGTCTTCTCTGAATACCTGTGCCCACTCTGGCCCTAGGCCATGAGAGGAATCTTAGTCCTACAGAGTACAGTGGGACATTCATTATGACTTATATCCTGAATATCACATCTCTTTGCAATGAGGAGATTAAGTACAGAGAGGCTGAAGTCCACTGACTTAGTTAAAACATGAGGCCTTGGCCTTCTCATTCATTGCCTGCTTACTGCATCATCTGATTTTCACTCCTCAGCCTGGAGTATTGGTCTTCTTTTCTTTCTTTTCTGGACACATCATCTTTTAGGGCGGTTGCCAACTTTGCACAGCCTTACACTACTGGGCTCAAATATTAAAGCAGATGAATGTGGGTCAGTGGTTCCAGGCTGGAGGTAATTTTGTTGGCAATGTCTAAGTGAGATTGCCACTGGCATTTAGAGGGTAGAGGTCGGTGATGCTGCTAAACACCCTGTAATGCACAGGACAGGCACCTGTAACAAAGAATTATCCAGCCCAAAACATGACAGTTCTGAGGTTGAATGCCCCTGGGTTAGATAACACCAATCATATATTTTCTCTGGTTCAAGCAGGTATGGGAATAAATTAGATGGAAATCAACAACTGGGGCCATATTGAGCCTGGCGATTTTGAAATGAAGAAGAATTTAGCATAGGAAAGAATAAAATTTAGGGTGACCTTGGTGCATCATGCACATAATTCAAAACATATATGAATTAATTTGAAAACAAATTATCTAAACGGTGCTCATCTGATTGTATCACTTCCTTAACTTAAACTCCTCTAGTATCTCTCTGTGCCTAGGAGAAATATTAACTCCTGAATAATGCATCCGGGACACTTTGTCATCTGCACCCGTGTCTCTCTGGCCCCATTGCTCTAAGCTTTCTCCCTGGACAGTCTTCTGTAACTTCCTGACTTCCCTGTCCCCATTCTCCTTGACCTCTTGTTAGTAGCTGATAAAGCTTCTCCCTCTTTTGGCAACTAACATACTGTTTCTTCTGCTTTTTCTGGACCCTGCTGAGCATTCTTCTCCTTCTCTGCTTTTCTTCTCCTTCTCTTCCCACATAACTCACTCCTCCTTCTTTGTCCCTTTCTTTGGCCTTCTAGTTAAACTGGTTCAGAATCTCATTTCCATTTTTAAACTTTCCTTCTTCCATGCTTCTCAGTTCCAATAAATTGTGACACTCTGTTGATTGAACTGTAAAATCTTACCTATATCTATTCCCTACCCTCTGTTCCCCCGACTCCAGCCTTAGATCAGATCCTCACTTGCTTTTCCCCGGGGATGGCTGCTAGAGCTTTCTAACTGATGTCCAAGCAGCTGTCAGGTCCTCCTCAATAAAGCCCATCCTCTCTTCTGCCTACTTACCCTCCTCAAGCACACAACTAAGCATACTCCCGTCACTTCTGATCAAGCATGCTCGAAAACTTTCAATGGCTCCCAAGTGCATCCAAAGAGTTATAAATTCATCATACTGGCATCTGAAGCTCTTCTAGTCTGTACCCAACTTGCCTTTCCACACTGCTCCCTCCATTCCACTTCATATAGACTTTGCTCCAATGTAATCACCTCTTTCCCATGTCCCCTCCACACCTGAAATGCCTCTAGGTCTACACGTTGTCTTTGATACCACTTCCTGCTTGCGACTTTCTTGGTCATCACAAACATACTGTCTTCCTCCTCTAAATTCCCATAATACTTTATTTTCCCCTCTCACGTTACACCATTTTCTCTCCTATGGTTTATTACTTGTGTGTGCTTTTCTTATCACCCCTAATACATATTTTAAGAGGGCCAAATCCATGTCTGATTTATGCTAGCCTGCCTGAATCATATATGCCTCAATCATTCTTTGTCACTAATGCACAGAAGATACTTAATAAATCCTGATTAAATGGTTAATAAGTTATTCCTACTAAACTTTGTTTTTTTTTTCCTACTAAACTTTGAACCATATTATGATATATCTGTTTTAGCGGCAGATTTACATTCTTAATTCTATCTTGCTTAAGTTAAAATTAATAGCATTTTCACATTTTTCAAACAAACTTGTTAGAAGCTTGTTGCTTGGTACCTTCTAAATGACAGGATGAAGTAAGGCTGAACTTTCAAGTTTGCCACAAAAAAAGCTAGCTACATGTAAATAATTAGGAGTTGTTAATTAGTTAAGCACTCAAACAAAAAAATTTTTTGATAATAAAATTATAGACACTTCCCAGGTGTGGAAAATGTTTTCAGGAGCCACATGTGGCCAGCGGTGACTATTTAAGAACACCATGTCCCTAACCAATGAAAACAGTATAACAAAGTACCCATAAACCTGGCTGCTTTCCAGACGGGTAAGCTCAGGTCCTGATGAAAGGCCATGAGTACAAACAAATCGGAAAAGTTTCTAATGGAAACCCTCAGTGGGTGGCTTGAGATCTATTTTCAGGGGTGCTTACAAACATTACACCACCATAAGTGCAGTAACAGAGGGCTTTGAAAGCTAATGATAAGAAAAGACAATATGTTTAGAGTACTACAAGTGAGACAAAAGGTGGGCCCTTTATATAAGGAGGGCTTACATCTCGTTTGAGCTTCATATCCTAGTTACATGTTTTTTGATCCTTACAGTCACCCTCTGAGGTGGGTAATATAATCATCTCTATTGACAAACTAAGGCTAGGAGAGACTAAGTAACTCTTCCAAGGTCACATGGTGGGTTAATGACAGGGCAGGGCTCAAATCAGGCTGACTGTCTTCACCACTACTCCAGTCAGCCTTCTCCAGGCTTGTTATGCCAAATAGCTCCTGCAGAGCCTGAAGACCTATCTTGGGAAGGCACTGATGGAGGCATATTGTGAGCATCTCATCACTCATCTGAATCTGTATGTCACTCTGACTCCACAACCAGCTTCCTCTGTTCTGATGTATAGTGATAACTCAGGGCAAGGGGTTTCCAGAAAGACAATGCATGCCCTGGCTTGGCAAGTTATTTAACCTCGCTCAACTGGCCTAGCAGCTGATTCATGTAAATCAGGTGGCCTGAAACTGACCCTCTCTGGTTGAAGACCTAAAAATCCGGTCAGAATTGAGAAATTATTTCACTTAATAGGACCTTGAAGAGTGGCTATAGGTGGTGGGATTACCTGAAAGAGAAGTGGGAGAAAGGAAGATGGGAAAACTGTCAGTTACTATAAATTTATAACTTTCTTTTTTTTTTTAAGGTTTTATTTATTTACTTGAGAGAGTGCACAAGTGTGGGGAGGGAGGGGCAAAAGGAGAGGGAGAAGCAGACTTCCTGCTGAGCAGGGAGCCAGACATGGGGCTTGATCCCAAGGACCCCCGAGATCATGACCTGAGCTAAAGGCAGACACTTAACCCACTGAGCCACTCAGGTGCCCCTGTAACTTTATTTTCAACTAGAAAATTTAGTGGTTTCATGTCTTTTGACTTTCAAACATTTCTATGGAAGGACTGGCATAAATAATAATTAATGTTACTTATGAAAAATCAAAGGTAGAAGGAATCTGCTTGCTGCCTTTCAGAAAAGGTGATTTCCTGCCTAATGACATAACTGGTTGGGAAAGAGATAAGTGTGTTTTCTTTATGCTCATTTTAAGTGGGAGTTCTAAAAATTAGAGCACTCTCTCCCTTTCTCCTTTTTTTTTTTTCCTTTCTCCTTTTTGATGACTCTGATATTTAGATCTGGCAAGGCAGAATGACTTCATTGTATTGGAATTTGGTTTGTTTCAATACAAATAGAAAAGTCAAATAAGTGAACTAGGTTTTGAAAATATTTTCATTATTGGAGATTTTTCATCATCATAGGATTGAGCTTATGGAAGTATTCGAGTAAGCTACATGGAGAAAATCTAATTTGTTTACACTGAAATCAGATCTCTCTAAAACAGACTGTGGGGACATTCATTCTTCACTCTCTGAGACTCTTTTAGGTAAGTCAAAGGCATGTTTTCTTTCTGTAATTGCTTACCCATCTGTAAAATGTGAATAATAGTTCCTGCCTCCAGGCAACCAAAGGTTCCTGGTGACTCTTAGATGGAGATATTTGATATGTGTAAATGACAGGAACAATGATGATCAAACACTGAAGATGAAATTCTAAGGAGAAAGAAAGTTGAATTATCATCTTCAACATTTTTCGTTCTATTAATAATGGGTCAAGCTAGTA